ATAAATTCCCGAAGTTTTCCCAAAAATGGGCTTTACTAAAGAAGTTGAAATAAATAAACTTTAGAAATAAAGTGAGTTGCACATCTGGAAAACCCTGTCTGGGAACTATGCTCCAGCAAAAGGGTTATTCTGGGACAGGAAGGTTGTATCCAGTAGGGTTGAGCAGATGCTGCTCTGCGGAGTTTGCGCTAGAGCAGAGAACAAAGTCATGCCACTTTCTTTAAGAATTGCCTAAAGAGGGAGAGAATCCTAAGGAGGGTCCCAGATTAGAAACATACATTTCCTGCAGTGTCAGGATAATATGGAGCCAGGGAGGATAGCCAAGAGAGTCTGGAAATGACCACGACCAAGACCATGAAGCAAGTCACAACACTTACAACATCAAGTGAGAGACAGCTGGGTGTCAGGTCAAAGGCTGTTGAAATATTAAGGGTTTTGAAAATGGGAAAAGAAGGAGATGATAGTATCTGAGTCACCCAGTCACCAGGGATCTGTGACCACTGCTAGTCACTCTTTGTCAGGAGATAATAGAGGAAGAGCTGAATCTACGAGGACAAGAAACCACAAGAGGAAAGTGAAAGACAGTATTGCATGTCCATGGAGAGGATGGATGGACTTTCCAGCTGCTGTGGGGACAGGAGACAGAAAAAGATGAATATCATCCTAAAAGGAATTATTGTGGCTTTCTCTGAATTCAGTATACTTGGTTCACTTGAATCATGTCTGGGCTGGTAGGACATTGAGGAGCAAGAGCACGTTTGGACTAGATGAGCTTGTCTAATGTCAAACATTCTGAAAGGAAGTAGGGACATTGCTGATAAAGACACCAATGAGGGCAAAGGCTCATGAGCAAGGGAAAAGCAGCCAGAGAACAGTGCTGGCAGAGGAACAAGGTGGGTATTAACTGGACACAGCTTGGAAATGAGAAGAAGAGGCCTAATTTCTAGTGGATGACACTACTGCAGGAGTGTTTGCCCAGCTAAAGAGATTAGTAGGAAACTCCCTTTATCATGCCAAAGAAAAAGAAAAAGAAAAAGAAAAAGAAAAAGAAAAAGAAAAAGAAAAAGAAAACTCCCCAAGGATCTCTGTGTGATGAATGACTGCTTTAGCTCACTTGAGTGCAAGTTGTTTTCATTCATTCGTAAAAACCCAGTGCTTTGCAGATGCATGGTGTTACAGATGTATACATTTAGGAGTGTCAGACAGTCTTCTCCCATAGATGGCCATAAAAAATAGCACGTTGCAGCTGCAATGTCCTACCTTCTACATGCTCAGAATAAACTTCCAGCACAAGAGCTCTGAAAATGAAACTGCCAGTGTCTTCCCAGATCCAGTCTTCCCTGGCAAGCCAGGGATGCAGACCTACATCACTTGTCCCGCACGTGAGCTTTGTGTAGGGGCATTCAACAAAAAAAAAGTCATGTCCAGTACAGCTAATGTTGTACTCTCATATCTTTCTCTTTTCATTTGATTTTTTAATTATTTTTTTTAATAATTCACTGCTGAGCCTTGCACTCTGAGAAAGGATGTGGAGGATAGTGGTCTTTCTTTGTTTTGGAAAATAAATGATGTGAAGAGGATGTGATAGAGCATGAAGAGGAACCAGCTGGTCTCTTTCAATACAAGATCTAGAAGGAGTCAGGTTGTAAAGGAGCTGCATGCTGCAAGTGGCAGTAGGCTGGGGAAAATCCTTCCAAAAGCACATTGGGGATGACATCATAACTTTAAAAGGACTCAAGGGAGATTCAGTAAGTATTCAGGAGAAAGATCCCATGTAGTTAGTAAATTAGTACACCACATCAGGTCAGGAATTTGAGCTTAAAGTAATTTGGGACCACAGGAGATCTTGGGGCTGAATTTCATAGACTCCTGCCCTGTCTTGTACTTCTTTGGGTACCTCTTGGTGGTCATTGGGCTGTACAGGACTTCGGTCTGGACCAGCACTGTCAATTTTGTGTTGCTAGCAGCATCTCAAGAAGTGACTGATGGGTGTTGTCTGACTGATCCTTCTTTTGCAGCTCTCTCCCTGACATGTTTCACATGCAAAGACGCAACTTCCAACCTGCAATGCCTCACCCCAACCACATGTTCTGATTATGATAAGTACTGTCTCACAACCTACACTTCTTCTGGGTTTGGTAAGTGCGAACCTTTTCTAAGGCTCTGATGAGAAGTGTTTCTGGTTATGCTGAATGCAGAACCTGCTCCCACTATGAGACGTGGAGGAAGAATTAATAAGGATAGCAGTGCTCAGAAAGCAAATATTGCAGCCAAGTGGGAACTTGACATAACCCCTCTTGCAATACATCGTAACAATACTGCATTGATCATTAAGCTGCAGTTAGGAGTGTAAGCCATCAAAAGAGAGAGGATTTTTCTGCATAAACCCCTTGTCTCATCTCCAAGTTCACGAGCACACTCATGAAGTTATGGTATTTGAAAGGACCAGGTATCTTGGTGGGGGTAGCCCCAAGGCATGGTAGCAATGAAGTCCTGCAACCTTGCAGTGTGCAAATGCTTTGGTTCTCCAAATTGCTTCCCTGAGTTGCCCTTAGCTGGCCCTGAAAACAGAAAACTCCTAAGGTCTGGGGTTGAACTTGGGATCTATTTCTAGTTATCAGGCACGAGGTGCCAGAGGGATACTAGTGTTGTTAGGAAGTCTGTTGGGCTAGATGGACATGCAAGGCTCTCTATAGGTTACATATACACAGGCAAAGCTGTAATGTACCAAAGTCTAAGGGAAAACCAACAGTCACTAAGTAGAGAACAATGTATTCCTCACTGTGATATTGCATAGCTGGTCTATCACTGCTCTTTTTAAGAAATACGTAAGAAAAAATAATAAATTGATTTCCCCTCTCTCTCTCCCCTATTCAGGTAATGACCGTAGCCAGCGTATTACCAAGAAGTGTGCCGTAATGTGCCCAACCATAAATCTGAATATTGGTGTAGCAGGTGTTGCCACCAGCTGCTGCGAGACCTCCCTGTGCAATGTCAGTGGGGCCAGCAGTGTGAAGACCAGCTATGCTGTGATAGCTGTGGGCGCCTTGGTCAGTCTTGTTTGTGTCCTTCGGCTGGGAATGTAAAGGGATTGGAGTCAGGGAGGAAGCTGCTTGGCCTTTTATGGCGAATCATCTCTGCAGTACCTTCCTCTGGAGAGGTTCCCTGTTTCTCCTAACTGGCACTTCACACCCCATCAGCAAAAGTTTTTTGCTCTTACCCCACCCTGATGACCACATGTAAGAGCATGGCCCTACCTCAACATGGTGGTGGGAAGAAAAAGTCATGATGTGGAGTCCTGTCCTTGCATACAGGTGCTGTACAGGAACTATCTCTCTCTTTACTTACGACCTATATAAATCCACACATTTATTCCCCTTCATTTTGGCCCTATCTTTCTTCTGTGTCATTTTTACCTTTGTATCATTTTCTGCCCTGGATGATTTTGCTCTGAGGAAGCCTTTGATATTGTAGCTGTTAAATAGAACCTGGGCATAATAAAGTGTTATTTTAGTCTACTGTGTGAGTGTGTGGTATGACACTTCAGGCATAGCAGGTTGGAATATCCAGGGTAGCAGCAACAAGAAGGAAGGCATTAGTCTGCAAGTTGCATTGAAATGATACCGAAATATATCAAAATTACTTTGCATTCACTTCAGGAAGCTTGTTCCCAGATTTTTTTTTATTATTATTTTTATTTTTTTCTGCATAGGCAGAAGTGTCAATTTGTGACTAAGTTTCAGAATAAATAGTATTCTATTTAACTTGTTTTCAATTTTGCTTCTGGGTCAGCTGCTTGGAGGAAAATAGCTGTTGAGCTCTCCAGCAGGCAAACAGAGGGAACAAGATGAGACTACCATGAAGGGATCTTGAGTATTAAGTTTTCTTTAAAGTGATTTAATATCTTCCACTGGAAGATGCTTTATAAGCATTAAGGATTACTTTGAAAGGGAAGAAAAGCATCTTGCATGGTGCTTAAAGGGAAAATCATCAGTCAAGACAGGCGCTTTCTACACTGTGTATGCTGGAGTCAGGAAATCTCAGCTCCATCTGTAAAAAAAATAAATAATTCTACTTCCAGTGACCTTGAAGACAAATCTTTATGCTTGCTAGTACAGTTTTCTTTCTACCTGTGTTGCAAATGTAGAAATACCTTCTCCTGCTCTGACGTTCCTTGTGGACAACCTTAGTTAGGAGAGATTTGTCCTCTAAACTCCTTCCAATGTGAGTCACACAAACCTGACAGGTTTTCTCCTGACCTAGGGAAGTTCTTCATGCAAAACCATCCTAGAAAAAATCTCCTGGGACAATTAGTTGGGTGCAGCTCACCAAGCTGGTTTTCCCTGAATAGACGAAGCACATAGGGATGGCAGCTACACACATTGCTCACTCTGCTGGGCATTTGCCAAGAGCAGCTCCGTGCTGATGCTCAGAAATCTCTGGATCCCTGTAACAGGTTTGAAAGGAAAATGTGGTCTCGTGGCTCCAATTTAGCCTAACTTGCTCCCATCTCTTCTTGTCCACCCTTCCTCTACCACCAACCCCCAGCCTTGCACTCCCTGGCTGTTTTTCCTGGCTCTGGTCTTGTTCCCAGCCTCTTTTTCCCATCTATCACCTCCACCTTACTTCTGCTGCCAGATTTTAGAGATATTAGCATGGTGCATACATTCGCCTGCTGCTGCCCTTTGGACTGCTGAGAAAGTAGAAATTTCTGTGGCCGGAATATAGCCTGTTTGGAAACAGGTGTGTACACTGTATTCTCTGGGATCCAAAACCTTCAGGTGGTAGGAGTCCTGATGGGCTGGATTCATCTCACCTCATTTTAGCTGTAGAAGTTGAGGGGGACAGGCAAGCTCCTTGCCTCTGCTGACCATGGAAGAAATCTGAGTGACAACGGGCTGCCAAAAGACCCGCACTAGCCACCTCTCACCCCATGTAGTAGGGATAGCATTGACATGAAAGGGTACATCTCTACAAGGAAATAAACAAACCAAGAACTGTTCCTTGGACTTAGATGGCTAAAGTCTGTCCTGCACACTGTAAGGTGGTAGTACCACAACTATTTGAAATATGGCTCCAGCCTTTCCTCTTCATGGGCTTGGAAGATGTGAGGGACAATGTTCGTTGGCACAAGCCAGAACCAAGCAACTGAGAGGCAAATCTTATCCTATTGACTTTGCGAACACAGACTGCTCATGGCACCTAAGTTCAAAATGAGTCCATGTCCTTTCTAAAGGACATGAACTTGGCAGACTCCTACATTTAGGATTGAGAAGGAAGCAGGAACATGAGGAAGGCAGAAAAACGTGTGAGCAGAGAGGGCAAAGGCAGGTGGAAGAGCCTGTTTCTGCATTGCAGGGTTTCATGACCTGCCACTGGGTGCAACTATGAGCAACTCAAGAGTCCTTCTGTCCCTAAAGGAGCAGCCCCCCATGGCCCCAGTTTGCCTTTTTGTTTTTTGCCTGTTTTCTCCCTGGCTCCACATGTTTTGCAATCACTTTTGACCAGCAACCCAGATGAAGCATGTGGGCCAAAGACTGATCTATGTCTCAAATTATATAACTTCCTTATCTCTCCTTAACAGGAGAGAGGGAGCAGCAATTGCCCTGAGGCATGCCAGGTCCTCAAACCACGCCTCTTTCTTCTGTAGAGGGCCCACCCTTGCCCGTGGGCTGTTGTGTAAGAAACTTCTCTCTGCCAACCTTCCTAAAACATCCTGATGGGACATGTGCCATGCAGAATTAGGCATCACATCCCTCTTCCCAAGGTTTCTTATTTGTTGGCTCTTGTGGCTGCATGAGAGTGGCAATCTGAGAAGGAAAAACATCTGGGATGCCATGGAGGCACCTTGGGAAGGAGGTGGGTGTCAGATACCTGAGATTGCTGCTGGGACGCATCTCTGCAAGGACTGTAGAAGTGCTCAGGTGCTCTGAGTCACCATGTCAGGACTTGAATCAGCCAAGGAAGCCTCGATCTGCCTCAGTTAGGTGGTTTTAATTTGACCCTTGTTTTCCCTCACTCAGGATTTTTGCACCAGTGATATAGAAGGACGTGCACTACCTTCTGCTCTCCTTCAATAGTTTGGAAGTGTTTCCCACCAATCTTAAATTTCTTCCCTGTGATCAGCACCCAGTGAATCAGTGACAGCAAGAGATAATATGGATGCCTAAGATCAAAAGAATTTGCCCAGTGCAAAAAGCTTCTGGAAGCCATAAAAATGGCAAAAGTAACTTTTTTTTTTCTTTCAGAAATAAATGCTACTCTATCATCACTAACTCATAGCTCCATTCTGAGGCCCATTTTAGTTTTCCTGAATGGTTAGAACATTTTTATTTCCTCAGATTGGTGGTGATGGGATCACTCTACAAAAGTGCCTCAGCTCCCAGTCTTCCTTCCTCCATGGTGTCTCTGCCTTGCCTCTTGCACCAGGCCCTCCTCCAAGCCTACATCCAGGATGCAAATGAGCAGAATACGTCCTCTTGACTCTGGCTGCTTAATTCTTGCTTCTGTCTTTTGTAATCCATCCTATTGAGAAAGAATGAATCACTGTGACCTTGCCACAGTGCTGCAGAATTAGTGCTCTTTAGATGCTGGGAACAGGGCATGCTCCAGCAATACACTATGTCTAGGTACTCTCAAATACTTTCATGTCCTGGAGACAACTCCTAGATAACTCTTTGACATGGCGAAGTTGATCTCCTACCCAAATTTCTCTCCTTACACTCAGTACATATTTGTTGGCAGTGCTGGGGCTATTTCAGCCTCACTGGTGTCTCAGAGCAGACTTGTAAGTTGGAGACCTGATGAAAAGACCAAACCAATGCACCATTGCACCAAAGCCCATGAAGAAACAGTGGATGCTGGAAAGGTCACCAAACGTGATGGGAGTTAGGAAATTTGAGGCCTGTTTCATTCATTCAGGAAGGGAACAAGAATATACATAGCAGAAGTTATTGGAATAACAAAATGGAACAAAAAGGAGAAAAAAATGATGCTTCCTTTAATTGCAAAACGCCAACAAGAGGAGACACCTACTAATTATGAAAGGTAACCTGTCTGTAACTTATTTGGGTTGTACACCCGATGGTCTCTGAAAGCAGAAGGACAAATCTAATGATTGCTATGTCCCCTGCTGACCTCACACATCTCCAGACACAGGAGCAAGGACATCCTTTTACATATCAGGCTTGCATAACTAGGGAATTCACCACCAAATGATACTATTCCAGGAAGAGTTTTAGGAGGACCTGAAAAATATTAGCAACTCACATGGATAATGAAATCATCCAGTGCTGTGATGATTAATATTAGACACAAACAGGAAAACAACCCCTTGTGCTACAAGGAATGAACAAACAACCTACTTGTGGCAACTACTGGGGAATCCACCTGTTATGGTATTCCATAGTTGCCAGCAAAAGGGATTTTTGGCAGCTTTCTCTTTTGTATGTTCTGCTAGCTGATGTCCAGGATTTAGCTCAGTTTGAAGAAACTGTCATTCTGACATGGCAATGCAAATTCTTACAAGTTGTATCTCATATTTGGTCTATTCCCAGAACATCAGAACTACAGTCATGCTCTCAAGTTCGGGTTTCAGAGGAGTGCAACCCAGGGGAAGCGGGGAAGGGGATTAAGAGGAGAGATATTTTGAGAGATGGCTTTTTCAAAGTAGACTAGTAATTCCAGGATGCCAGCTTACGATATCTTAAAGGGAGGGGAGTCTGATTTCCAGAAGCTGCTGGACTTGGAGAAAAGCAGACCCTCTCATGGTTCCCTGGAATAGGAGCAAAACTTCATTAAAGAAAATGTGTTTAGTATTTGAAAAACATTTGTAAAAGTACAATCAAGAGAGAAGGGAGCACAGAGATTATATATAGGTCATAGAAAAGTGGAAAAGAAATGAAGACTGTCATGAAAATTGGAGGGAACTGTTTAACCAGCTATCAGCTAATTTCATACACTATAAAATGCACTGACTTCTTTAGAGGTAAACCAATTTAGGTCTGCTGAAAACCTGGCCTTCTGATTCTGCAGAATAATTAAACCAAAAGAACGGTACATCATGAGCCCTGGTACCTCTATCATTACCTAAAAGGGCTAGAAAAATGCATTGCTAGGACTAACTCTCCATGCCTCCAGGCTCTGCTATTTCATCATGCAACTGCTGCTGCCAGGAAGACGGAAGGATGTAGAGGAAAAATCTCAGAGAAGAGCAGACTCTCATTCCTCATTATTCATGAGACCAGGGGATCAAGGATGTGTTACAAGGACTTTTCACAGAGGTGACTGCAATTTCAATGGGCTCCAACATGCAAAACTCCCACATGTACCTTACACACCCTTGGGTTGATTTCATGTCCGCCTGTGAGCCACCTGGAACCTGTATAACTGCTGCAGTTCAAAAGGTATATAACCTGCCTCCAAACACCTTCCCGGTCCAGCTGAGAGGATCTGGTGGAGATGAGGACTACTCTTGCCACCTTGCTGACTGTTGTCCTATGTGTGGAGCAAGGTAAGCCTCTATTGCTATTAGTTAGAATGAGCTTTATAGAGAAGATGGAGAAAGCTTTGTGCTGCAAGAATTTAAAGGGTTATCACCAGTATTATAATGCTGCAGTCAGGCTGCTATTAGTTTCTCATATCTTAGTTGATCTTGAGTTTCCTGTTTGTTGTAGAAATCAGATCAGATTGCAGAGCATGCGTGATAAAGTAGGTGGTCTTTCAGCCAGGGTCAAGTGATTTAACTCTAATTGTACTTCGCTGGGTGATGGGCTATATACATTGATCTATGATGCCTTTCCAAATTATGCAAGGAAGAGGGACCAGAAAATAAATTATGTTATACATATATATATATATATAAATAAATTATATATTTCATCCATTCTATTTTAGGTTACTTTACAGATTTTTCTGTACTGCTGCTTCCTGCACTGGAGTGAGCCATGTGGTTTACCACTTGTCTTACTCCTTAGGAATTGCAACTAGTGAGAAGTTTTATAGGTGAAATTGGAGATAGAGGTGAAAGGGTTTTTGCAAGCATGTGTTAAAGTCATCCTTCCTCCCAAAGGGAAGTCTGAGGTACTTTGAATGAGTGTTTTCCTTCTGGGACTGACACATTGGCATTGCTATATCACTACCTGCATGTAGGGATAAGGACTAGGTTACCAGTCTTTCCCATATGTCTGATAGTTTCCCAGAAACCATGATACATATCTAGTAGAGATTGAGAAAGAGACAAGTAATTAATTTGTGCTCTCTGATGTATCAAACCCACCCTCCTACATTTTTTGTGCATATGGTTTTGCAGCCTGCCTGGAAGATCAAGAGCTCAGTGACTTTTTGAGGTGCAGGAAAGGGATATACGACTTTACTAAAGAAAAGGGACTTGGTGCCTGTAATTCTTGAATGTAGCAATACCGCATGGCCATTGGAGAGTAATTATAAAAGGCAAAATCCTCAGTGTTCCCAAGAGTGAAAGGAACGGCTAATGGAGATCCAAGACTATGTAGTAGACATTTATGGTGGGATATTATATCCCTCTAGTAGACTGATGACTTTTTTTTATATTAGCTTCAGCTTTCCAATGAACATAAGGACAATCTTTTATATAGCATCTTTCTGAAGTCTTGTATAGATCAGATAAAGTTAGAAATTGTGATAAGAAGACTTCCACATTTAAATGTAAAAGATTGTGGCCTTCTGGCCTAACACATGAAAAAAAAGTAATCTTGAAATCAACTGCTATTTGATTCTTCTCATGTATCTGGGATTCCATCCAAAACTCCAATACGCAACCTTTTGATCAAAACTGCTGATTATATAGCTCGCTTTGGAGGGTTTGTTGTCACTTCCTTCCCATGAACTCTCTATTACAGAAATATTATGGCCATAATAAATCTTAAAAGGTCATGGTCCTAATCCTTGCTCCAGTGCTGTAACAAATCAGCCAGATGTTTGTCTAAGGTATTCCTGAAAGGTTCCAGTGAAGGAGATTCCATAGCCTGTAATTGCTTTTCCCTTCAGGGAAGGAAAAAAAAAAAGGAGGGGAGAAAAAGGAGGGAGGACCTAGTCTTAACGTAAACCTGTGTCTTTCTGTAAACCTGTGTGGGAGTGTGTTATCACCATAGAACATGACAAAGTTTATTACTTTCTTATTTGCTGCTACTTGCTGCTTGCTTGAAGAAGACTACTGGGTCTTTCCTCAGTCCTTTTGCATTTTTGACTAAACAAATTGAATGCTTCCAGCCTTTTCTAAGAGGTTGTTGTATTTTCAAGATCTCCAACAACTTCTCCTCTAGGCTCTCTCCAAATGCTTCGCATATTTTTTGAAGTGTCGCATACAGATTTGGATATTGGTGTTCCAGCTGAGGCTTTGCCAACGTGTAAAGGACATTTTGCGTATCTTGCACATGACATTGCTGCTTGCATTCCCTAGGGTAATGCTTGTTTTCATTGCTGTAGTGTGACACAGTCGTTCCTGCTGTTTACACTCCAATATAAACCCCAGTCCTTAATAGTAACCTAACCAGTTGCTTCTCATCCTGTATTTATGTAACTTATATTTATCTTAGCGTAACACACTACAGTTTATTGAACAGTATCTATTCATTTTTTCCCTCATTCTCCTATTACTTCTGTCAAAATCACTTAGAACTCTACTTACAAAATTTCCAGCTCCTTTCCCCTTGACATCATCTGAAAATGTGACGGGAGTCCTCTAATCTATCCCCAGTGTCACTAGCAAACATAATGAACAGTACAGAACCCACAGCAGAACTCTGGAGAACCTTATGAGGTGCAATGTTCCAGTTTGACCAATATCTATCCTGTTACTGTGTTCCCATGTCTTGTGTTGACCCTATTCTGTTTCATTTTCACATGACGCCGTTTCCTGAGCTTGCTCGTAAGGATTCCATGAAATACTACCAAACACTTTGGTAAAGCCTTATTACATCTCCTCTATCCAAAACACATGCTATTCTAGGGTGTTCCATCCCATGCATTTAGGTTTATATGAACAAGGCAAAAAAAAGTCACATTGTAGCGTCCTCAGTGTCAACAGTCAGTAGTTTCCCTTCTCTTCCGTTTCCTCTCCTTCCCCTTCCCCTTTCCTTCCTCCTCCTCTTCCCTTCACTTTTCCCTTCCTCTTCCCCAGCACCAAGAACTTCTCATTTCATGATCTCCCCGACCAGCGCTGCCCTTCCACTTTCTTGTTTCCAGCCTCTTATCGGGCAGAACTGAACTCACCAGAACAAGCCTGCCAGTTGCTTTCTGCACTTTCTATGCTGACAGATTGTCCCCAGACTCACCAGGAGCATAGCATGCCTTCTGTGTTGTGCCAGATTCCCTTTGTAGAGATACTTCTGTTTTTAACGTAACTCATCTTGTTCTTATACAGACATGCATCTTTCGCTCAGGACGATTTTGCTAGGTTGGAACCCAATCACCATCTCCAAAATCATAATTTATTTAATCTGCACACACTTTGGTGTTTATTTTTAATTTGTTTGTTTTTCATCAAGGCTGTGTTCTTGCTCTTGTGCCTTTTCATCATTACTTTCCAGAGGTCCATCCTACCATCTTCCGGATTTCAGGGCAAGCATGTGCATCTTTGATAGACAAGACAACTCATTTCTCACCGTCTTTAATGCCTGTCCGCTTTTTCATTGTACTGCAGACATATGAGTTATCCCATCAAATCTGTGTTTACCAGCTAAACCATAATTTTGGTTAAGACTTCCAGTTTATTCTCCGTCATACACGGTAACATGAATTTCAACAGAGCATCTGACTAGTCTCCTCAGACTTCCTAGCACTGAGGTTGGGCCAGTTCAGTTAGTGGTGTTCAACCACAAGAAAATACATGTGACGGCACTCTCCGGGCCAGATGAAAGACAGGTAGGACCTGGGAATTACCAACTTCCTTGAAATGCTCCAGGAACCTTCAAGTCCTCCCTGATTACTGCTTGCATAAGACAAGTAACTGGTAATTCAGCTCTCAATGCTAGAGGGGCTACTGCAAAGCAATAATGTCCCTCTTAAAAGACCCCAAATCCTTGAATTCTGCTCATATCTTCTGCTGTCAGAGATTGCAGACAAATTGATAGCACTTCACAGTCTGACAGGGTCAGGGAGGGAATTTAACATTGCTACTGTGGGTCAAGGGGCTACTGTGGGTTAAGGGGTGAAGAAAGTCACTGGTCATTCACATGGGCATTCACCAGGCTATAGCTAGGAAAATGTAGCTATCGGGAACGTAAGCACCACAGTTTCTAATCTGTGAAATATGTTCCTTTTGTTCCCTTCCCCCTAGCCTATGCATTTATGTGCTACGTGTGCCAGGAGCAGGAGTCCAACAAGAACTGTTTGACCATTTCCATGTGCTCAAAGGAAGACAAATATTGTGTGACCGTCCGGAATGACATTGGAACAAGTACGTTGCAGAAAACACTTTTTTTGTAGGACAGAAGTCCCAGTAACGGGCCTGGAGAGCCTGGAGCAATGCCTGTACAATGTGCAGCAGCATCAGAGAGTGACCTGAAGCCTGGGCCTGTATGTGCTGCTTCATGGTTAGCTTCCTCCCAGCTTTGCCCTGGCCACTCCAGCTAACTCTCTCCATGAGTGTACTTGAGCAGAGTTCAGCAGCTCTCTCCTGGGTTGTTTTTGAAGAAATATGGACAAAACTGCACCACAGCTGATGCCCTTTACCCCCCCATAGTCCTTCAGCTCTGTGCACTGGGGCTCTGCACCCTCCAGCACCTCCATATGTGCTGACACTGAGTCCTGGGTTGTGCAATACTTCCCTCTGGTTTTATGCTGCAGGAAAACCCTTCTGGTGGGCAGCAACCTAGACTGAGTATTGCCTCAGAGGGTTTGAACCAAAACCCACAGCCAGATGCTAATTCTGCTTTAGGTATAGACATAACAGAGCCCAGCATCATGTTCTAGCAGTGTGGACATGACCAGACTGCTTTATATGGGGCAGCTCCAGAGCTCCCTCCTTTCCCTGGGGACTGGTCCCTGTCCTTTCATTCAGCAATGCAGATTTAGTAAGGGGAATATTTTAACAACGATTCTTCCTTTTTGCTCTCTTTTTCTATTTCTTCTACACTAGAGCCCAATGAGCCTAAGTATGTCTACTCCAAGATGTGTTCTCCAACATGTCCAGCAACAAGTCAGCAACAAAACCAAACCTATCAGAAGGTTTCTTGCTGTGAGAAGCCATTATGCAATGTGAATGGAGCCAGCAGCAAGCAGAACAGCTATGCAGTGATGTGCCTGGGCATCCTAACTAGTGTCGCTTATATCTTTACATCTGGACTGTGATGGTTTAGGAAAAGCTCTGTGTGATGGCTTTGTTGGAATAAAAGTGAATTGCTCTGGAATAATTCCTACCCTTAAAGAGCCATGCCTTGCAGAAGAGCTCCCACTGGGGTTTTCAAGAGAGTTTAAATAACTTAGGTGCTGAACTCCCATTGATTTCCTAAGCCTACTTGAATCCTAATTATCCTCAGGCATCCAAGTCACCTCAGAAAATACATAAAAGACAGCTCTTTTGGCATGTTGAGGCTTCAAATCACCACGGCTCTCAAGAAATCCTAGTGAACATGTTTTTGGCTCCCTGAGTTTCAGAACACTGCAAGGAAGCACAATCCACCTTCACAGAAAGGCAGTTAATAGCTCAATAGCTATTCCAGCACAGAGTTTGGTATCCTCCTCCATTTTTACAGATCCATTATCACACATCAGTGAAGCAATCCATAAGCCAACATGCAGAGCAAGGCTCACTCCCAGCAGTATTTTGGACACTTCTCCAGCCTCAATTTCTGGTTCTCTTGGCCACTGCATTGTGAAACGAGCATCCTTCATTGCCCGACTCCAACATGCCGGAGAACCAAATGCATCTGAGAGAGGAAAAGCAACCACAGGTACCAGAGGAGAGACAGAAAGAGAGAGGAGGCAGCGTGCTGGATACTCTGCTGGAAATTGGATCCATGCTGCCTCACATGCCTCTTTCAGGCTGGAAAAGTCAACATTCCCATATCTATCCCCTCGTTTTACTGCAGGGCCAAACTCATGTGACAGCTCTTGACACCTTCAGGTGTTCACGGGTTGTGATGCTGGTGCAACAATGATCCAGTCTGCTGGACTCTGCTTTGTTACGAGCTTCAGGCTCTCTGCTCCCTCCTCTCTCTGCCAGAACTGTTCAGAAGAAGCGTTGGTAGCATTGGCTCAGTTGTGTTCTGGGAGGAAACCAGAACTTGTCCAAATAATTCAAAACCTTTTCTATAATAATTCAAAGCATCTTTGGAAATTTGCTTTGGAAATCTGCCTTTTTTTGGTTGCATTCATGGAAGGATGCACATTTGAGATGCATCACACTGCCTGGATTAAAAAGCTCCTGGTTTCCCAACAGGATGATGAGCAAAGCTGCCCCATCAACCCAGCCTTTTGTACTGTGATCCATGGCATATGATGCTTGGCCCAAGTTTCAGCCATTTTGTTTAAAGAGCAGGAGAGGAACAAAGCAAATGAACTGGGTGACACCAAGGTGATGGGCAGGGACAAGAAGTCACTGACACCCATTGATATTCTGGTGAGCTCAGCCTGAGGATGAAAGATACATGTCAAGAGAGCCAGAAGTCAATTTGCTTTCTGCCAGCAGAATTTACAGTTAATTTTTTACACTTTCCCACAAAAAAGGAAGGGAGGCTGTGCTGGAGAAGAGGGAGGGAAAGACTGTTTAAGCAGAAACGAAGGAGAAGATGCCTGGTGGAAGGGGTTGGCAGCATTGATGTGTGTTGTGGTGGTCATGCTGCATCCCGTGTCACCAATAAATATTTTATACATACCTGACACAAGGGGAAACTGCTTCTTCTAGCAGGCCTTGCAATATAGCGGATACTTTCAAAAAAACCTCCAGGGAAGATGGGCTACAGGCCAAAGTCGTTACTGTTTTTACCACCAGGCAAGTTGGCACAGGAAAAGGGAAGCAGAAGCTGCGATTTATATCTCAATATTTCAGTTACTGTGAAATATTGAGTAAGAGGGTAGGGAGCCTGTGGGTGAGGCTAGCTAGCGGGAGGGAAGGTGTTGAGGATGGAGACACATCCACCAAGGTTGATGGCATGCAGGAGACCAGACTCTCCAGAGCAAAGGAAGGAGAGGAAACTGCAGATAGATGTTTGCTAAAACAAAGTGGGCCTTGATGCATGGTCCAGAGGGAGAGCTGCTCAGCTCAGAGCCTGGCAGCTGTGGCTGGGGACCATTGTTCACTGCCTCCTACTTCTGCACCAGGATGCCTGGGAAGAGGAAGAACAACAGGAACTAGATGCTCTTGAAGGAAGCAGGCTTGTTCTGCTCATGGGAAGAGTTTCCCTCCTCGCTCCTCCTTTTCTCCCCTGACATTTCTGAACACCAAAGCACCTGCCACTGCTGCTGACTGCTACCTGACTGCTTGTTCTGGAGAGGAAGCACCTTATGGTTTTCACTGTATTTAAAAAGAATTTATTGGTTTCATTGCTTGTCATACTAACACTGCCTGGCTCCAGGAGTGCAACCCCACAGCCATGAAATGAGGTCTCTGAATAGTGTACGCATAGGGATTATGAATTGGTCAGAGATGATGCTCTGAGAGGGAAGTCAGTGAATCTCTTTCAAAAGAAATAAAGAAGGAACGGGAAAACTGAAATACTTTCCATTTCGGATGGGGGCAAGCAACAGGGCATGTGCTGGCCAAGTCGCTGAAAAGGACACAGGTCCTTCTCCACATTTTGCCTTTCCTGGACTGCAGGAAGGTGCTGGTAGAAGATCAAGGTTCCTGTGGCCCAGGAGTTTGAACACAGAGTTGCCTCCTCTTCAAAGAGAAGAACTGGTCACATTTGCCTTTCCAAACGAATTTGCAATGCAAGGTGCAGTTGACGGTGCTGTCCAGGCTGAGCTGGGCTTGCTTGAGAGCAGGTGATGCCTGCAGGTGCCACTTCACTGTTGACTTGATTGCACAACATCACAACAACGTTGAGTCGCACATCCAGGCACAGGAGACGCGTTTTCCTTCCAGTTCACAGGTACGTGCAGAATAAAAAGAAATACAGGTTTGGAGGCACTAACCACATCTAACACGTGAATAACAGAGCCATTTGACTGCTGCAGATGTTAATAAGATTAACCTGTATTAGCCAACTAAAACATCAAAAGCAAGAGCATTAAAGTAAAGCAGGGCACAGGCCTAAGCAAAGACAAGGTGATGTCTTCCACATAAATATGCACATAAGGAAGGGACAGAAGAAAAACTAAGTAGTGTCCAGGCACAGGGGCACTGGGAAAAGAAATAGTTGGCATCATAGCTACTAAACACAGCCTGTCGTACCTGCTCCTGGTTTCTTCACAATGGGAAACATTGAGGGTTTCAGAAGACTGCACACCACCAGACACAGAACCCACACTTATAAAAAGAAGGGTGAAATACAGAGCAGTCAGTGCAAGACCCAGGTTGGAAAAAAAATCCAGAATAAATCATTAAACAAGAGGAGAATGAACAGTAAGAGCTTTGTGCTGCATGTGTCAATCCCACCTGTGACAAGGTGGCAAAATCTGTAGTAAGGGTATAAGCAGTATCTGTCACATTTCTCAGTGCTAATAAAGCTGTTGGCACCATATCACATGCAAACTAAGAAAACAGTCTGGAAAAAAACACCATAAAGCAGACATAAACTGGCTGGATTGTGTTTTCTAACAAATAACTGACAATGGTTTGCTGTCAAGCTAGAAGAATCTATTAAATGGGGTCCTTTGTGGCTTGCCATGATCCTAGTATGATGTGATTATTTAATTAATGGTTTGAACAATGGATTAGTGAACAAGCTCACTGAGCTTTCAGGCAACAAGCAGGGAGAATCTCCAACTGGATGGGAGAACAAGATGAGGATTCTGAGTGATGAATAAAACTAAGGTCTTAAGGTGAGGATGCACTTTGGTGAGGATAAACACAAGGCTCTATAGTCAATCTGGGCCAATCAGCAGCACAAGTATAGGCTAAAGAATCCCTATCTGCAGCAATTTGGCAGAAAAAGAAATTGCAGAGGGTGTCACGCCACATCATAAGATATGTCAAACTTGGGTGGGAGGAAATAAAAGCTTTATTTGAACTTTTCAGTCCATTGAAAAATTGCATACATCACACCAGGAAGTGCAAACTGGCATGTGATGAGATGTGATCCTTCCAGTCTCTTCTCCAGTGGGGAAGTCTGGGCTGATGCATTCTCCTTCCTTTTTGTTGTTCAGTTCACATAGCAGTAAGGAGGCTTTTAGGTAGGGTCAGAAAGGTTTCCTAACATCTAAAGGATGGTGAAGAGCTGGAGTTAACAAGCTGCATCCAGCAGCAGCATATATACTTCAACCTCAAGGTTCAAGATCAACATCAAAATTCATTAAAGTATGACAGAAAAAGATATTCCTCAACATCTGACTGGCTTCTTCTTGAGGGATGTAGAATGAACTCCGCTGCTGCCCTTGGTCCCCTCTAGTTCTCCCTTCTATCATTCCCATGTACCTGTTGTGGCTGCTGATTCCATTCATTACAACGTAACTGTGCCGAGCTGTGCTGCAGCTGAGCTGTGTAAAGCAAATCTTTATGCAAAGATGCTTATCATCAGACATGAACTAAAGATGGTCCTCCATTGGAATTTTGTAGGGGTCTCACTCCAAAGGATATTCATCCCCTAAAATGAGTCTTGGGTTCCCAGGATCTCAGGCAACAAACATAAGCAATAGATAGGCTGAGCAGGTGAGTCAGCTCTGCATGATACCTATGTCATATCTTATTACCCTCTTCAGCTGACTTTTCAGCTAGGAAGATCTCTTACCATCAAGCAATGTGCTGTCACACAGGGAGGTGAAAAAGTTTTCAATTTTATTTACCTGGTCCAGGAAGCAGATGCTGACTTCGTGGCCAGTGCTCACAATAGCTCATCTGGGACCAGCCCCTGGCTCCAAGGCCTGCTGGAGCGTTAGATGTTAATCTGCAATTAGATACATGCGTACGCTACCCCTGAGAACAAGAAAATTGCTTCTCTAGTCTGGAAAAAATGAGTGCAACCTAAATGAGTAAAACCTAATGCAAGATCTTCTGGAGGACAAAAATGATTTTATTATTCCGAATCTCCTGGCTAGCTGATTTTGTCCTCTCACACCTGTTCTTGCAGAGTTAATCAGTGTCTCACATGCACCAAGATGTGTGTGCCCAGGTGATCTGGCCAGTGTCACTTGTGTGTGAGACATGAACAAGGGACTCCTGCTATGCAGTCCTCATCATCCATCTGGAGTTATTCACAATAAAGAATAACAAACTGATTTCAGTCTGGCCTTTTACAGAGAGGAATGCTGTTATGCTCTTCCCCCCCTTATTTTGCCCCTCTTAAACAAATTCCCTGCATTTTATAGTTCCTTTTTTTTTTCCTTACCTGTTCTTATCTTCTTGAATCCTTATCTTAGGTCAGTTTGTTCTTCCTTTTGATTTGAATGCAATTACAAATAGGTGTTCTAGAGCAATTAACACTTGCCTTTCCTTTTAACTCTTCTGCTGCTATTCCTTCCAGGTGCTTTCACACACACGCACATCTCCATTCTCATTTCAATCATACCACGCAGTGTTTCCATTATGAACATCCACAAGCCCAGCACCTTGTCTAACAGCTTCAGCATGCTTCTTTTTCTGGGGTCTGCTGAATTCCTTGTTTGTAAGAAACTATTTTTGGTGGAAGGAGTGGGAAGAGACTGGATCCCTCTTCCCCACTTCAAACAACCTGGTGATGAGGTCCCTGTTGCAGGTGAGAAGAGACAACCCTGGCACAAGATCCTTCCCAGAAAGATTCCCGCTAAAGAAAAGGTCAGACGTAAGACTGGAAAAAAGGCTACAATGTAGGTCTAAAGTTCACTCAGGAGATAGGCACACCCACAGTATATGTCCAAGGGCCATCCAGTAGACAGGACCACTACATGAGTCCAGCGACCATTCGGGAGCAGAAACAGAAAGATCAGAAACAGAAATGTAAAGAAACTAACTACAATGTGGGTTCAAGGTCCATCCAGGGGTCTGTTGGAGGTAGTCACACCTAGAGCATAGTAGCATAGCCCAGGAAAGGACTAAAGGCTTTTTAAAGGTAAATGAGAGGCTTAAGACTCCAGAGTTAGTGTGCAGAGGATCTGGAGGTGGATCACTTCAAGTGAGGCTGGTCAAGGCAATTAAGGCCTATGGGTGCACTCAGAACTGACACCATGAGCCCTTATAGGGGAGTTTACAATGCCATAAGACATCATCCTAGAGCAACCTGGAGAGATCAGGTTAATCAGAGCTTAACTTTTAAGTTTCACAATTCTGTCAAAAGACTAGAATAAACAAGATAGATAGAAGGTGAGTCATGCAGACTTTGGAAGAGAGGAGGTGTGAAAGTATTGGCTTAACCCGTGCAGACTGAGCATGCACTGGCCAGCAAACCACCTTCACATTAATGGCTATGGGAAAAATAAAAATAAATGTGCAAAATTGACACTAACCAGAAAAAAAAAAGTTCATAAATTTGACTGTGACTGCAGGCTGTGCTTTACATAAGCAAATGAAGATCCTTTTTCAGGAGATACTGCAGCCCAAGGATATGCCTATTATGCACCCACATTTTCAGGAACCTAAGTAGCTAATTGTGAAGTAGCTCAGGTGTGTCCTCTTGGGTTGCAGCAGAGATCAGCCCATCGAGGAGATGGAGGACAGTGAGTTGTTTGGCACTGTAGACAGCAAGGAAGCCCACTCCAACAGGTGCAGGTGCTCAGACCTGCAAGCAAAGGCTGAATCATGCAGTACAGCATTTTGCTGTATGTTACTGCGCCGAATTTTGCAATCTGCTCTACAACAGCGTAGCCTGGGTAAGGAGGCAAGAGATGTGAGTCTTGCCTGGTGAACATTTCTGAAGGGCTTCCTAATCCAGCACATATTCCCCTGTAGAGAAGTGGTCCCTGGCTTATCTGTCCACTTACTCTGTTTGTATCACCCCATAGTTAAGCTGCCCCTGCTGAGCCAGCAGTTCTCCAGATGAACTGGTGGGTTGTGTCTTGTCACTCTTAGGTACATTTTCTTCTTTCCTGGACACAGTCAGGAACATCTTCGACATGATTTAGCAACCGCTATTGCTAAGTTTGTGAGAGAGAAAATCAGAAAGCCTATCTACACTTTTCTTGGGGACAGGGAAAGGGTACAAGGCCCTGACATAACAGAAGAGCTGATAGAATGTGCCAATTCCTGGAAATTACATCTCAGATTTAACAAAAACAAAACTAAAACAAACTTTAACAGCAAAACTAAAAGATATGCTGCAAGGCTGGTCACTTATCGTTTAGAAAATGCTATACTGACTGTTACAGCCACAATCTGAATTTGGTCTTTGGACTCTGGATGACGCAGGGGTCTTGTGAGTGCATCAGGATGACGGTGCACTGAGAGTCTGAGTTACGGTTACTCAGGCTGCTGCAGAGCTGAAACTTCCCAAATTTTGAGTATCTGATTTACAGACCAGAAAAAAACAAACAGCCCCAGCAGCACATTCGTGGAGACGTTAGACCACAGAAACACAGCCAGTTCCTACTAGAATAACTGGCAATGACAAATAAAATGAGCCGCAGGAGAGACCAGGGAGGTGGAGGGGTTGAAAGCATAGAATTGTTTTCTGACTAGAGGACTCTGAATGCACTCCAGCAAGACAAGAGCCAGCATTTCTTGACAGACCTATTTGCCAGAAAATGCTGATTCAGCAAAATTATGCCCATCTGTGGCATAAAGAGTTTGTCAAACCTGACTGTTTCTTGCTGGCTCACCAGCCATCTCCTCCATTCCCAGGCATCCTCAACACACAGCTTCTCAAACTCCCCCACTCCCCTTCCCCCACCAGTGCCCTCAGTGCAGCTAATTTGTGGGAGGCCTTTGCTATTACTCTAGGACTTACTGAACCTGTGTTGCTCCTGCAAACCTTGCTAGTAGTCTGCTCCATGCAATGAAGCCCCATCCTGCCAAGCAGGTGAGGCTGACACATGTCTCAGCGGATGCTGAGCCCTTGTGCCTTCAAGCTTTTTTCCTGTCTAACTCCATTGATACTCTTTGCAATGGCTCAGGGGGCTGAAAGCTACCTCCCTGGGACTGGCATGCAGGGGTCTGTGCATACAATGGGGTTGTTTAAGGTTGGTTTGGGTATGGGAGTGTTATGCATTCCAGGAGGTTTGTACACACAGGGGGGGTATACATGCTGGAGTGTTGCACACACAGGGGGGATGCATGTAAAAGGGGGATTGTGAATGCAGAGGTGTATGTCCATGAAGAGGATCTGTGTGTGTTAGGGGAAGTGGGAGAGCCATGCATGCAGGGGGTTGCAGATGCAGAACTGTGCATGCAGTGTGTGTATGCAGTGAGGGGGAGGTGTTGCTTGTTTAGCTGGGTTGCACTTGCAGGGGATCAGGGCATGAAGGGGACCACGCATGCAGCGGGGCTGAGGTTTGCACATGGAAGGAATCACACAGGCAGGGGGATCATGCTTCAGAAGGGTCCTGCATTCCAAGGATCCTCTTGCTCCTAGCTC